GCATCTGGTTTATGTAAGAGAAGAAGCTCAAACTTGTCTTCAAAGAACCATATCTTGCAAAGGCAGCTTCTCATAATAGTTCATCAGTTTTCTGATGGAGTACTTTATTAGGATCTAGAGAGATGCAAAAATTAAGAGACTGGCAAATCCTTGTTATGAAGCTAGTATAAACTTGACACCAAAACCAGACAAAGATACATCAAGGAAAGAAATCTAGAGAACAATACCCCTGATGAACATAGATACAAAAACCCTAAATAAAATACTTGCAAAGTGCATTCAAAAACACATCAAGAAGATAATACACAATGATCAAGTGTGTCTCATTCCAGAGATGCAAGTTTGGTTGAACATATGCAAATCAATAAATGTGATTCATCACTTAAACAAAAATCACTTGATCATCTTAATAGGTATAGAAAAGACTTTTGATAAAATCCAGCACCATTTTTGTTAAAAATGCTGGAGAAGCTAAACATCAGAACCCACCTTAACGCTGTAAAGGCCATTTATGACAAACCCAAAGCCAACATCATACTAAATGGAGAAAAAATAAAAGCATTTCCACTAAATTCAGGAACAAGACAGGCTTTCCACTTTATGGCATAGTATCCTATGCCATGTACTTCTTGAAACATTAGCCTGAGCAATCAGGCAAGAAAAGGAAATCAAAGGGAATCAAATACGAAAAGAAGAAGTCAAACTGTCTCTTTGCCAATGAGATGATCCTATATCTAGAAGATCCAGAAAACTCCACCAGAAGACTTCCAGAGCTTATAAATGAATTTAGCAAAGTATCAGGATACAAGACCAACATTCACAAGTTAATATCTCTTTCTCTACTTCAACAGTGATTCAGTTGAGGAAGGGAAACTGGTGCATTCACAATAACCTATGGAAAAAATACTTGGGAATTAATATAACCAAGGAGATAAAGAGCTCCGCAGTGAAAATGATAGAACACTGAAGAAATAAATCGAAAGACCATAGAAGATGAAATGACATCCCAGGTTCTTGGATAGGCAGAATTAATATTATCAAAATGGCCATACTACCAAAAGCAATATACAGATTCATTGCAATCCCCATCAAAATACCAATGACATTCTTCATAGAATAGAAAAAAAAAATTCTTAAATTCATTTGGAAGAATAAGAGATCCAGCGTAGCCAAAACAATACTAAGCAAGAAAAGTGAAACAGGAGGCATCACTATCCCTGATCTGAAATCATACTACAGAGCTGTACTAACAAAAACAGCATGGTATTGGCATCAAAACAGACGTGATGAGCAATGGACTAGACCAGAAGACCCAGAGACAAACCCACAAACCTATAGCCACCTGATATTCGACAAAGTTTTCAAAAATATATCTTGGAGAATATAAACTAATGGTGCTGGGAAAACTGGATAGCTATATGTAGAAAATGAAATTCTTACACTCTGCACAAACTCAAATTAAAATTGAACAAAGACTTAGGAGTTAGATGAGAAACCTTAAAACTGTTAAAGAAAACATAGGTCCAATACTCCATCATATAGATGATGATACAGGCTTCCTTCTTCCTTAACAAGACCCCCAAAGAACAATAAATAAACCAACAATCAATAAGTGGGATGCTGTTAAACTAAAAAGCTCCTGCATAGCTAAGGAAATTATTGAGAGCATGAAGAGAGAGCCTACCGAATGGGAGATTTTAGGGGATTAGAATCCAGATACACAAAGAACTCAAAAACCTTAGCACACACACACAAAAATAACCCATTCAATAAGTGGGCAAAAGAACTAAACCAAAACTTCTCAACAGAAGAAACACAAAAGACCAACAAAACATGAGAAAGTGTTCAATATCTCCAGCAATCAGAGAAGTGCAAATCAAAAATACGTTAAGATTTCATCTCACTCCAGTCAGAATAGCAAAGATCAAGAATACAAAAAACAATAAGTGCTGGTGAGGTTGTGGGGAGAAAGGGACACTTGTACAATGTTGGTGGGACTGCAGACTAGTAAGCAGTTTGAAGATTCCTCAAAAAACTAGGGATGGAATCACCATGGGACCCAGCTAGCCCACTCCTCTGTGTTTATGCAGAAGATCTAAATTGGCACATGACAGCAATACAGCCACATCAATGTTTATACAGTACAATTCACAGAGCTAAATCATGGAATCAACCCTGACACCCATCAATAAATAAAAAGAAACTGTCACACACACACACACACACACACACACTCGAGTTCTTAGCAGTTAAAAAGAATGAAATTATGGCGTTTGCTGGTAAATGGATGGAAATGGAGAATATCATGTTAAGTGAAATTAACCTGACTCAGAAACTCAAAGGCTGAATGTTTTCTCCCAAATGCAAAAGCTAGAGTAAAATAAAGGAAAGGGGAGGGAAGCATAAGATCACATAAAGAACCAAAAGTAAATTGATAGGCAAAAGGAAGTCTCGTAGAGAAAGAAATGGAAGAGAAGGGAGAGAAGGTAGGAGGGGAAGAGGGAAGGCAAAGGGACAATCATGAACTGAAATCATTTCCATGCTTGAGTTTTGGGGATGAACCCAACCACCGTGTACAAACACAAAGACCTACAGGATTAGGGCACCATGTCAAATGCCCCGGTGCTGAGTCACCTCCTCGGGCCCCACTGCCTTGCCTGATCCCAAGACTAAATTAGACCCCACTTATTCCTTGTTATGATTTCCAGTTATGAAACTCTGTGAACCCATAAAGAGCAGAATAGTCCAAAGAATATTGCTATACCCTCCCCAAGGCTGACTGCTGTTTCATTCCAAGCCGGTTCTAATGCCTTCATGACGAAAGCATTTCAGAGCAAATTACAGACATCATAACAATGACTACAGAATACTTAAGTCTTTCTCCCCAAAGTGGTAAGGGCCAGCATACACTGAAGCTCAAATCACACACATCTGCCCTAAGACCAGGTGCGGCACCTCCTTCAGCCCAGAACACACCTGTTTCCACACTCCCCACCTGTCATTGCAGTTGCTGTTTCTCTTCCATATTTACTGAAGCACAAGACTCCTTCCAGATTCTCTGTCTTGCACCACACTGACATAGTGGTGGAACCATGCCAGGTGCTGGAGCTCCAACTTTGTGGGTTTCCCTGTAGGACACTCAGTGATGGTGTAGGAGTGTCCCAGTG